CAGCGGTACGCCGAGGACCTCGGCTCCGATCTCGCGCTGCCGCTGCTCTTTGGCCTATCGCACTCGCCGCTGCTGAGCCTGCAGTCCATCTCTTGCGTGCGCGCGCTCGAGGATGAGGCGTTCCGCGGCGACGGGGGCGTCATGATCGCCACGCGCCACGCCGGGCCCGTGACGCAGGCGAGTCTGCAGCGGCTCGCGGCCGCGCGTGGCCTGCCGCTCAAGTGGGCCGAGTACCGGCTGCAGGTGCTCCGGCATCTCGAGAGGGAGGGGTTCGTGGGCGTCATGGACTTCATGAAGAATATCCTCAAGGTTCTGCAGGGCACGGGAAACGCGTCGAGTCAGGGGAGCCAGGGCTCGCGCGCGTCGCTAGGGTAGACGGACCAGGGTGGCTTGTTGGGAGGCATAGCTGGCCCTAAAGAAGGGAAATGATGATGTTTGAATTTTTTTACTTGAAGAAAGAAGTAAGAGATCTTGTCTAGTTGAGGTGACACGATATCTAGCTCCTGACCAAACTGAGACCTGTTCGTTGAAAGCCAGGGTATCGATTCAAAGACGCGGCTCTCCTTTCCAACTAGAGAAAAAAGCCGCCGCCCGCCTGAAAGCAAATGGGTATGCTGTAATGTTGAAGCAACCGTAACGCCGCGCAGAGCAAAGTTGAGAATGCCCTATACGCCCCTCTAATGATGCTATTTCCGTCCTGGACCTGACCCCTTTACCTTTTTTTTCTGTCATGCAAGAACCGATGCAAATATGCTACCTGGTGTCCGGTCTTTCCTCGTCATTGGACGTTCATGACGAAAATCATGCTCGACACACATTGAAATGGGGACCAACTACCACATGTCGCGAGTCGATGCCCATCAGGTGCTTACTTCTTCGCAATCTTGGTCGATTCGTCGCCGTAACCACCATAGCCACCAGCCGAGTAGGTCTTGCCCTCGGGCCCGATGCCGGCCTGCGAGCGAGGGCCGCGATCGTCGAGATCCTGCTGCAGCCAGCGCAGGACGAGCTGGCCAAGGGTGCTGTTGCCGCTCTTCTCGTCGACGCCCTCGAGGAACTTTTCGGCGCGGTTCCACTCCTTGACACGGCCGAGGTGCATGTGGACGAGGTGGGTGGGCCAGCCGGCGAGGTTGTCGAGAATGTGGGTGGCGTAGACGACGGTGCAGACGCGTGTCTCGGTCTCGGCGCGCAGCCAGCCGAGAAAGTTGGCGCGGCTCAAGACGTCGAGGTCGACGGTGATCTCGTCGAGGAGCAGGACGGTCCAGGGTCGAATGAGGCCCATAGCGAGCTGGACGCGGCGGCGCTCGCCATCGCTGACGGCGTGCATGCGCCAGGTCGTATCAATGTCGAGGACGCCGATGAGCTCGTCACGGCGCTCAGGGTAGGCGTCGCCGCCGACGGAGCGCAGGAGCTCGTTGACGCCAATGTCGGTGCGGACGATAGGGTTGAGGACCCACTCGAGGCCCAGGTAGGTGACGCCCTCGAGGCCCTCCTTGAAGGGGTCGACGCCGCCGACCGAGATGGTGCCCGAGGGGGCGAGACGCTTGCCGGCGAGGAGGCGCAGCAATGTCGTCTTGCCGGCGCCGTTGGCTCCAATGATCAGAGTGCGAGACTGGGCCGGCAGGTCGAGCGTGATGTCGCGGATGCCCGTGGAGTAGTCGGGAAAGGTGTAGGTCAGGTTATTCGTCGCGAGGGTGGGAGAGCGAGCGGGCGCCATGATTGCGTTTGCGGAGAGACCGAATGGAGGGGCAGAGAAGGAAACTGAACAGGGGGGCAAGGAGGAGGAAGTCACTGAGAGGACGGCAGGAGATTCGGATATATAGACAAGGAGGGGAGAGGTTGGAGGATGTAGAAATTTCGTGGACTAGGCTGACAGGACTTTTAGGAAAGGTCGATCCAGTGTCGCATGCTCCGATGGCTCGATGGCTGATGGCTCACTGGCTTCGATACCCCGCGGCAGCTACCGGCGGTGTTCCTTCGGCATTCCCCCATAGTGATGAATCAGCGAGCCCTTCCAGTGAGTCAACCCCCCTGTAGCTCTGGATCCCTGGCCTGCCTCGATGCAAGGACCCTGCCCAGGTACATAGGAACCTAGAACCCCGCCGTGGCTATGCCTTTGGGTCAAGCCACAGTGCTTTACGCCAAAAAGTCGCGACTCACCTTGGGTCCAGCGGTCGCGTTGGTCGTCCTTGACGCGTCGGCTCTCACAAAGCCCATCCACCCACTCACTGTCCAGCTTGTAGCTACTAGCTTCCTTTGGTTCCCATCTCCAGACTGACCTCAATCTCTGGCGGGCCAGCTGCATCGACGCCTCACTATTTGCCAGAACACTTCGCAAGAATCGCCTCACGCAATGGTCACCCTTGATGAGGCCACTGGCCTTCTCCAGAAAAAGTCGTGAGTGCATTGGGTCGCCAATTACCCCCTTCCCCCCCGGTGCAGGCCAGTACTGACCGCAACAAGGGATGCAGAGACGACGCAGCTCGCAAGAGCACCTTCAATCTACAAGCCCCTACCCACGTTTGTCTTGAAGAAGGACAGGTCCTACCAGCAACAATTTGCCGACGTTTACTTCCTTCGCCTTACGCACATCAAACCTGCCGTAGAAAAGATCGCAGCCGAAGCCTGGGATGGCACCGTCATTGGCGGGGAGCCGGCGAAGCAGGTCAATCGAGTGCTCGACGTCCGGCAGGGTGAGCTTTGCTGGGTGGCTGGTACCATCTACATGGAGATGCGATTGAAGCCCAATATTCTCGAGGATGTGTCCAAAGACGTAGGTCGTTTCTTCCCCAGAGCTGGCGGCTGCTGTCACTGACCTGGGCCCCCCTCGCAGCGCTGGATCTCGGCCCCCGTCTCGACTGAGAAATACTACTCCGAAGATGACCAGGACCAGGTCATGATTGAGGATGACTCAGGTCGCATCAGGCTCGTAGGCGATGTCCTCAAGACGGTCAACCTCGTCACTGGCTGTGTCATCGCTGTCATGGGATCTGAAAACGCCAATGGCGAACTCGAAGTCATTGATATCAAGTTTGCCGACATCTCCCCCCAGCCAGAACGCTGGGATCTTACCAAGCCTCCCTCCAATGGCAAGCAACAGGTCAAGGACGAAGATGAAGAAATGAAGGATGCCCCAACTGCCGAGGCCGGCGCAGAAAGATTGCCATCGTGTCCGGTCTCTCCTTCTCCGGCCATGATGCTTCGTATGCTGTCGAACTTGACCTGCTCCTGGAATACCTCCTCGGAGAGTCACTCGATCCGTCTGCTCAAAAAGAGGCCTCAAACATCAGCCGCCTCATCATTGCCGGGAACTCAATATCACTGACCGAGGCGCCGAAGCTGGACCCCAGTGCGACGGACAAGAAGCCCGTCACCAAGAAATATGGCTACGACTCGTCTACCTACAACCCCGTCCCCAGCCAGCTGCTCGACGACTTTCTCTCGGAGCTTCTCCCTTCCATACCTATCACTCTGCTGCCGGGCGCCCAGGATCCTGCCAACGCAAGCTATCCTCAGCAGCCGATCCACACCGCCATGTTCCCCAAAGCGAGACCCTGGTCCGTCAATCCTGACACGAACGAGGCCGGGTGGTTTGACAACACGACCAACCCGTGGGAGGGCGAAATCGACGGATGGAGAGTCCTCGGCACTGGCGGCCAGAACGTGGACGACGTCTTCAAGTACATCGACAGCGAAGACCGTTTGGGCATGATGGAGGCCATGTGCAGGTGGAGGTGTAGTGCACCTACTGCTCCTGACACCCTTTGTGAGTTCCCTCCCTCAGACATGGCATGCCGTGACACAATTGCTGACGCCGCCGCAGGGAGTTACCCCTTTCAAGATGACGACCCTTTTGTCATCAAGTCGGCACCTCACCTCTACTTTGTCGGTTGCCAGCCCGAGTTCTCGACCAAGGTCATTCAGGGGCCCGAAGGCCAGCAGATCCGCCTCATCACGGTGCCCTCTTTCTCGGAAACGAAGGAGCTTGTGCTGGTCGATACGGAGACGCTTGAGGTGTCCAAGGTCCGCATTTCGACAGCTACTTGAAGACCCTTGATGCGTGACATGAATGAAGAAAAATGATACCCCTGAGCTTCTTCTTATTTGTCCTAGTTCGGGCTACTGAGCCATCTTCTGCAATCTTTTGAACGGTAGTGGTCATGTGTCTCTAGCAAAGCTTCCAATGCAACGAAGTTTGTCTCCCTGGGACGGCTCCCTCAATCGCATAGCAAACGATTTCCCCACGGCGACTTGATCATAACGCATAGTCTAGTCCAGCTCCATTTCTTCTTCAACATCATCCTCGCCCTCGTCGTCCATCTCATCGGGATTGAAGTTCCCTCCAAACCAGAAGTATTCCCAATCGTCCAGTTCCTCCTCAGAATCCGTGCCAAAGTCAGGATCAGCACCAGCTTCCCAGCCAGTCCGGATGAGCTTCGGCAACGTCTGCAATATTGTTCGTCGTATACCAAGCTTTTCCTCGCGCCGCCTCCGCGCAACCTCCCCTTCGTCTTTCTCAGCTTCCAGTGGTCGCATATCAATCACAATTGTATGCGGCCGCCCGCCACGTATGCTGTAGTCGGTATGGACGACGATCCGGATAAACTGACATGGTAGCCGGCGCAGCGACCTGACGACGCGTCCGTCTGGCTCGAAAAAGTTGAGGAAAGTCACCACGCCGTCTTCGAAGCCAGGAGTGATGACGATGGACAAGGTGTGAATGTGGGCGCCGGGTTTAGGGGGCAGGTGACGGAAAACGTCAATGGTGTCGGCCATGCTGTGAAGATACCCAAGCTCGGTACGGTTTCTTTCCGCGACAATGGTCAGATGGCGGAAGAGAGAGCCAAATTTCTGTATGTCAATGTCGACGGCGCCGGCGGTGGGGGGTGCCATCCTGGGGTTGATGCTGGAGGTTGTATGCAACGGAGCTGGGTTATCATCATCGTCATCCATCTCGTCTTCGTCGACGGCAAAAACCGAGCCGGCTTCAGTATAGTTATCGTCTGGAAATCCGTGTGCGACCTCGTTGTCACCGCTGCCGTTGTTGTTGGGGCTCGCCACATCGTTCTTTCCTTCGTCGTTTCCCGCGCCTGCAGGGAACGGGTCATCGGCGAACTCCCGCAGGACGTATTCGAACATATTGCGACCATATAGAATGATGATGCTCTCGCTGAACAGCAGCTTGCATGTGCGCATCACGGCCGTGTCGAGCTGTGGGCCGCGTCCCTTCCAAAGTTTAGCCCAGCCCTCGATCAGTCGGATCGGCTTGTTTGTGGTAAGCAGATGCTCCAAGATCATCTCTCGGACCTCCATCGGCAGGGCAAGGAGCCGAGACTCTCGGTTCGTCTCGAGCCGCCCCTCGTCCACCACCACCTCCTCTTCGTCCATGGTCTCGTCAACCGGCTCCGCGGCACCCCTTTCTTGCAAAGCCATTCTGGCACCAATCGGCGGATCCCCGACGCCAGCAGCACCCGCGCGCCGGCGTCCCTGCCTCTCAAGTCGCCGCTCAGCCTTCTGCTTCTCGCGAATAGCCCGCTCGACCTCTTTCGCAACGCGCAGCTCCTCCCGCAGCGCCTCCTTGAGGGCCCTCCTCTCCCTCGCCTCGGTCTCTTTCTCCGCCTTCTTCGCCTCCCGCAGACGCTCTTTGGCCGCCCTGCTCTGCAGCTTGGCCGCGGCGACGGTGTCGGCAAGCCGCTGCTTCTTGCGCGCCTTCTTCTTCTCGGCCTTGCGCAGGAGCCTCTTGTACTCTTTCAGGTCGCGGTGGTAGGTGCGCCACATGGTGGGCGCGGCGGAGGTGCTGCCGCGGAGAGCGAGGTTGCGCTTGTTGCGCGGCGGCATCTCGAGCTTGTTGGCGTTTTTCGGGGCCGGCGTCGCGGGCTGGGTGGCGGAGGCGTCGCCTGGCTCGAGCGAGGCAGCTGCGGGAGTCGACCTCTTGGGTGCTCTGGGCTGGCTCTCGGCCGGCATGGTGAAGAGATCTGAAGCTGGAATGTGCTGTTGGGCGGTTCTGCCTGGGGGGCAAGCCAGATGTCGTAGATGAATGGAGTTTAGTTACTGACTTTTATGCCTGCGAGAGGGAAGGATGCTGGCTTGCGTGGTTGCACGGGAAGGAGAAGGGTCGCGGTGGCCCGTTGATAAGGAACCAAGGCAGGAAGTGCAACTTGCTGGAAGGAAGTCATCCCTTTTGGTTCAGGCTGCTATGTTGTGATTAGATACAGGCAGCAGTTGGCTGTCAAACCACGACGACGATATGATTCAGAATGTGCTTCCGGGCAATGTCCGTAGGGATTTCAACATTGGAGGCGTCTGTCTTGTGGAAGAGCATAAGTTGATGATTGTCCTTTGCTCAATGACCTCGATGATCAATGACCTCGTAAGAAATGCTATTAATGGCGTACCAGCCCATCACGTACTTGTGTGATAACAATGAACGCTACCCTAGCAGTGATGTGGTGCTTGGAGTCTGACAATGATGGCAAGTCGAAATAATAGATTAATCGTATCGTTGTCATGGTCATGATTCGAAACGCCTGCCACAGCCGTTACTAACATAAGGAGCAGCAAAGGAAAACTAGTAAGCGTACATGGGAACGCATTAAACTACTTCAGTCTGGAGATTGAACCCGGGAATCACTCGGCTTCTCAAGATCGGCTGTCACGTCCTGGCGGTCCAGCAAAAGGGACATTTCTCCGGGTATGCCCTTTGACCATTTTCGAATCTTGCCCCCCCTCGCTATGTAGCTCAGGGAAGGGGCACTTTGCTGCAAGATTCATGAGCATGTGCCTGTCTAAAGGTGGCGTACTTCTCCAGGACCATGCTACGAATCCTTTCCTAACAAGACTCGGCACCGAGGAATTCCGGATGAGCTCACCGACAATGGATCGTGACATGTTATACGTGGTGTTTCGACGGAGAGGGTGTGAGGGGGCCTTGCGTCCAAACACGAAAGGCATGTTCCAGGCCTCAGACAGCCCCAGCATGACCTTCCCGCAACGGTCAAGGCGTGGTCACGATGGAAGCTTGGCACGAGATTCGGACGCCAATGGCCGGCGACTCAGCAACGGCCGCTAGTTGACACCCCGTGGCACGTTCAGAGGCTCTGAAGTGAGGAACATCCTGGGGTGGGGCTCCCTGAAGTTACCTAACAGGAACCGCCGACCCGGGGTGGCTTTTGCGGCTACTGTCGGATCGACGCCCGAGCCAATGCTTGATTTCGCCCCGCGCCTGGTCCGAAATGTTCACCGGATTGGGAAGACTGTGGTGGACCAAATTGGCTAGGATCTCTCGCCGCTTTTGGGTATGGATGGGGTTGTTTGTGCATATTGAAGTTCTGTCTATGTGCAGCCTCTCTCACGCATCCAGCCAGACTCTTCTCTCGGCGGCCATCCGGGTGCTTCGAGACGCGTGACGTAGGACACGGGGATGCCACACAGTGCCGTCGGACTCGAAATGGACAGCTTTGGGATGTGCTTTAGGACTTTTCTGCCGGCGCCTATCAGGTTGGCTCATCGCTTGGGTAAAAGTAATCCTCGGGGCTGTATTGCTGACCGTCTAGGAGCAAGACTGGTTAACCACCAGGCTTTTGTGAATAGGGCCATACAAACTCAGTGCCGCAACATAGGGTCGCGTTGTGAAGAATCACTCACCCGAGGCAGGATACTTGGCAAGCTCTACCCAATTCCCCTCTTCGAGAAGCCTTGTCGCCCGCTGCGCAGTGCCTTTTGGTAGGTGGATGTGGTGCTGGATCCCATCCCCGTCTGCATAGCTCATATGGTTGGGTTCGACATGAGGCATACGAGGCCCATTTCGCCCTGGGTTTTCGGGTGGCTGATCCGTTGACTCGGGCCTGAGGTTTTCAGGGGACTCGCGTGGCAAGGCAAGGGTTGGATCCTCCGAGGATAGCTCTTGATTTTCGAGAGGCTTGGTCTCAGGTTCTGTCGCAGCAGGCTGAGAAGTCATTGTGGGCTGTTCCGTAGGTGGCCGTTGAGTGAACGATAAAACTATTAAGAGGAGTTACCAGGACATAACATGCAGTGACTCCACCACTAGACAACTTGGCGCCGGTGAGGAAATTATTCGAGTGAAGGCTTTTAAACTTGGGATATAGCCAAATCGTAGATGTCTCGTTGCAAATATGGCAAGATTACTGATGCTGATGCCAGCTGATATCCGGGTGGCGAGAATCGTCGAGTTTGCGGGGTAAGGCAAATCGCATCTGACATCAATCAGGCATCATGGTCTCTGCCCACGTGATAAGTTACACAGTCAGTTACACAAAGCTTCCGAGGTCAAGTTACACAGTCAGTTACACAAAGCTTCCGAGGTCACTACATATGACTCCTGAGGTTGATGCCCTGAGGTTAATGCCCTGAGGTAGGTACGGTGGGCAGCGGGGGGAAGGAGGGTGTGACAAGGCGGTGGTAACTGCCTGAACTTACACCTGGCAGGTGCAACGAAGGGCCACAGTGCACTGTAATCATTCAACGTATCTTGCGCCATCCACCATGGCACAGCTAGACACAAAAACCAAGTTGAGCCCTCAAGAAGCCGACGAAAAAAACACCTCCCTACCCAACTACTCAACAACATGAA